AAAACCACATTTTATAATATAAGTATGACAATAAAAATAATAACAATGAAAAAAAAAAATAACAAAACAATTAAAAATAGTATATCCAACTAACCCCTTCGAATGTACTCCAATTTCTTTCACATTCGGATGAGCTTGTGGTTAATGACAAGATTCTTATGGCAAATCTTTGCAAATTAGGCGTTCCACATCCATAATTCAACCACCAAGTAGCTATGACATCAAGACAAATATATAAATATAAATATATCCAACAAATATATTTTTTCAAGACATATCACATAAGAGGCAAGACAAATATATAAATATAAATATATATATTTACCCGGATCAAACTTCTCGTCGTCTACTTCACAACCTTTTGCGGCAATTGGCTTCCCAAAAACTCCTCCCTTTGTCTTATAAATGGGCAACTCAACATTCATGATTTTATCCATCAAATCAAAGTTACCATGACAAATGACATCAAGACAATCAAGAACACCATCCGAAACAACTTGATCTAGTATGAGATTCGGGTCCTTATAATGATAATAAGGATTTAGTAGATATGCCATCAAGTGCAACGGGGTGTCCAATCTACCCATCATCTTCGTGTCAATGATTTCTAAGATGGGATCATAATTCTTGGCAAGATTGTTCAAGACACGTTTTATATCTTCTTTAGCATGCATAAGCTCCCCATACAAAAATCCCATCGACGGCTTCTTATCGGCATCCGCTATGCGAAGCACCTTCACCAAAGGAGCAAAAATAGTCAAGAAAGAAGTTACACCATTCCAAAAACTAATAGACATCACGGTGTTGTAACTTGCTTTCCCTTTGACCGTCTTGGACCACTTGCACTCATCCCACTCGGAGCTAGTGAACATTGCCCTTAATTGTGCCTTTTTTTCCATCAAGCTTTGCAAGCTAAGAAATGAAGAGGCGAATCGTGTGACTCCGGGTCTTACTATGTCCCTCCTTTTAGTGTAAGACCTCATCATGGATAAGGTCTTATGATGTGCATAAATGAATATAGTCAATGCCTTTGCTTGTTCAATGGTTTTGGTGAACCGGGGTAGTTTTGCAATGCCCTCCAAGATAAGATTGATGGTGTGTGCGGCACATGAAGTCCAAAAGATAGTTGGCCTCTTTATGCGCAATAACTTCGCCGCTCCCATATTATTTGAAGCATTATCCGTTACAACTTGAACAACATTCTCGGGCCCAACTTGCTCAATGCATTGATCCACATACTCAAAAATCATTTCACTTGTGTGAGATACATCGGAAGATTCCTTGGAAGATAGAAATATCGTTCCCATTTTAGAATTCACACACAAATTCATAATGCTTCTTCTCTTTCTATCACTCCAAGCATCCGTCATAATCGAGCAACCACTCTTCTTCCATTCATCTTCATGAGGCTTCACCTTGAGTTTTGTTCTCTCAACCGCTTTCTTCAACAATGGCTCTCTCATCTCATACGAACTAGGAGGCTTCCACCTCGGCCCAAATTGACCGAGCGCTTCGCTAAAGAGCCGAAAGCTATCAAGCTCGGTTGCATTGAATGATATGCCCGCTTCATAAGCCCAATCGACGAAATAATCTTTCACCAAGTTGGATCGTTCTTTCCAAATAGCATCATTAATGTTTTGTTCCCGCATCGTCTTTGCCACGTTCAATGATGCTTCCGGGTTGATTGTTGTAGCAAACCTATCCATTGGGCCAAGAGAGTGAGATTCTTTTGCTTTTTCGCATTGTTGAGAGGACTCAACATTCAACCCTTTAATGTTAACCGAAGATAGCAACTCTTCTTGAACTTCTTTTGTCTTCATCTTCTTGGCTTTGGACTCATTAATGGCATTTCTACATTTAGCTTGATCTTCTTTTGTTGCTTTTTTACATGAAACAACATTCCCGGAAATTTGACCAATATGCTCTTTCAATCTACGTATACCACCCGACATAACTTTACTACATAACACGCATTTCACTCTATCTTTGTTATATGGATCGGCTAGAACACCATAGTTCCAACCTATGTCATCCGACTTTCTTTTAAATACTTGAGAATCATTCTCGGCCTCTGTGGATGTCCGTGAATCACACGGAGTACTTTTTGATGCCGAACTACTAGCCATTGCAAAAAACCTAACAAAAAATAGTGAATAATATTAAATTAACAACATTGTTGCAAAAAAAACACAATATACATGAATGTATATTCTTTTTTTTTTTTCAATTTTCGAATGTTACATACTTGAAGTCTTGAACTTTTACTAAGTTATCTCTTTGGAATTTTATCGAACACATTGTCTACATCCTTATGGTTTAATCATTACACACCACAATGGTATTATAGCTAACCAATCAACACCAAATTTTATCAACATGATTCCAATAAATTTCAAGAAATTCTAAAATTAACAAAACCTAATTAAAATTTAGAAGTTACAACCAAGTGAACCAAGTCAAAATGTCCAATAATTCCATATAAAAGAAGTTTAAAAATACCTGAGAGAGGCTTGACCGCTCGAGTATCCCGTCAATGGAACTGGCCGACGATGATTCAGGTCGGCGGCGCGTCGAGGTGGGCCGAGAGTCCAAGATGGCGAGAAGAATTGAAGGTACCTTCAGTTTTTTATGTTCTGTAGTTCACTTCTCTCAGTTCTCTGTTGCGCTGTAGTCTGTCCGACATTTTAATGTTTTAATTTTTATTATATTTTTTTTTTTTTTGGGACTTAAATAAAACGACGTCGTTTTGCCTTAATGCAAAAACGACGTCGTTTCGTTACTGGAAAGGAGAAAAAAAAAACAGAAGTTGTACCTGTACGCCATGGCCGCCGAGAGCAAAATGTTGCCGCCTAGACCGCCTGCGACGCCTAATCCCGCCATTGCCGCCTAACCCGCTGAGCCCGTAGACCGCCGAGAGCCGCCTAGCCCGCCTAGGC